GTTTTATGTGATTGTATTCTGTATTGGTCGCTTACTCAATATTATGTATTTTCCCAACATAATTTTTTGTTAGTAAAGATTTTTTCCCTTAAAAATATAACAACAATAATAATAGTGGTAGTATTAATGGCGGCGGTTGTTGTTGTTGTTCAGGAACAATAGATCACAGAGTATTTATAAATGGGATTTATTCACTTCCAATTAATTAGTTTCCAAAAATTATTACTTCTCAAAGAAGCTGTAGACCAGGGATGAAAAAAGGAAATGGTCAGAGGCACTCAATGTTTGCAACTTGGTTGAGATGCCCAGTTATTTATTGCAAAAAGCCCATGATAAAAAACAAAAAACAAAAAAACAAAACAAAAAACTAACCTTCTTGCATCAAATGGCAATACAGAAAAAACTAACGGTTACCAAAGTCATTTTATAGAGAATTCTTTTCTCAATAAAAGGTATATCTAAATTATAATTCAAATCTCAAAGATATATCTCAATCATCCCCAGGGGATTTGTATCATTAGAAATTATTTCTTGTTCATTATAACATTAAAGAAAAAATATTTTTGACAAAGATGATGATGATGATGATTATTATTATCATCATTATCATCATCAAAGCATATTATCAATTCTGCTTGATTGCAAATGTATATAAGTTCTAAATACACTCACAGCAAAGGTTTTCTGTTTTAAGAAAGCAAAGAAGGCAGAGTGTATTAGTATTAAAAGCATATTTAAAAAGATTGTTATGTATTTCATTGTTATAGTTATATAATTCGATGATCAGAGTGAAAAAATTTAGATTTAAAGATCAAAATATAGGATTTTTAATGAAATACTTGAAAGTGTTAAATCGAGCATTTTGCAGAAACCTTTATAGGTACAAATAAATCAATTGTATCTTAAGAAAAAAAAAAGGTTTTAATTTGGATATTTTTCTGCTATCTTCTGAGAAACAAATGCAGTTGATTCTAGTTAATTGGATCACAAAAAAAAAATCAGTCAAATTGATATTTAGATAATTTCCTTTGTTTATTTGTGTCAGCAAGCCATTTAATTAGGCCAGAACTAACAACTGAAAATAACCTTTCTGGTTGGTTCTTGTTGGCTCAATCGTCATTTGGTAAACCATCAGCTAATATCTAGTATGTATCTGTTGTGAGCAAGCTTTTAGAGTATAGGTATAATTATGTGTGCTATTCCCAATTCCTTGAAAATCTAACCTGGAAGAAAGGAATACTGTAGAGAGATTTTTATGTTATGTAAGAAGGTAATGAATACATATGTGCTGATTTTGTTCATATTTTGTCACTTAAGAGGTTAAAATAATAGTGGTGTCAAGGGAAAAAACATCCTTTTCATACTGTTTTTTGTGGGTATGAAGGTCTAAGTTTGTCAGGAAATTATTTTTTTATGTTTTTTTTTAATTTGACATGGCATATTTTATATGTTGCTTCTTATAAATGGGTCAAAGTGCTGTCTTATTGTACCAATTAACTAGAATCTACTGCATTTTTGATTTTAGTTCCTTCTATATCGGAGACTCTTATCAGCACAGCATTATCATCAGTTCAACTAGATATACTTAATCAAATGAAAAAATGTAACCAGACAGAATGCAATAGTGCTATCTTTCTCATAGACTGATCAGAATATAGATTAACAGTTTTGGGTCAGTGACAAATAATTAAAAACTGGAAAATATCATGCATTGTTCCCATTCATTTCAAGAATTATATTATAACTTTAATAAAAAAAGTTTGTTCCTGCAATTAAAAATGAAACTGCTTTTATCGTGATTCAGTATTCCAAGAATTATTTCAACAGTTCAATTATGAAATGGATTTTGTTATCCCTTTGTTGAGAGAAAAATTGATCTGTGGGAAATGAGAGTAAAAAATAAAAAATGATTCTGCTAAACAAGAAACTGAAAAGAAAATACATTATAACCATTTTTTTTCATTCCAATATTATGCAAAATAAATGTGACATTTGAACAAAAATTATAAGACAAAATCATCAGGCTTTTATCGTTAAAAAAATCTAATTAATTACTACAGAGGGAATTCATTTTAAAACAATTGAAACAGACTGAAGATTAGAGGCAACATGAGCTGAAAATACTCATTATTGAAATAACTCAATTATATCAGTTGAAATTCATTCTATTCTAGAATCACCAAAAGAGAATCAATGATGGAGGATTATCACAAAGGGAGGTAACACACTACAGAGACCAATATCAGATTTTTTTTTCATAGTTTGTTCAAAAAGTATTGTTTTAAAAATATCAAGACAATAATGATGGTTTTCACAAATTGTAATAATTTCAATATATTTGATAAATTCCATTGAACTTTTAGTCATTCAAAAACAATATATTGCATACAATCACATATATATATATATATATATCTATATACAGGAACAATATGATGCAATATGCATCTTTGCAGTAACTAACTATAGACCATAGTTAACAGTATTTTCATTAATAGTCTATAATATCAACAGGGGGTCACATTCACAAATTACCAAAATCTTGGATTTGTTTAGCAAGTAATAAGAAAAATCTGTTTCCAATTTTACAAAAGTTTGAATGAAATGTATCTGTTCTGAGGCAAAATGAAACATTTAAATAAATAATTTCAGTTTTAAATTCATTGCTTTTTGACAGACTTGGTTGCATTATCTTAATTTATTTATTAAAAATAACTCAGTTTTAAAGTATTAAAAATTTCACAAGAATTCTTATTTAACTTTGAAATAAGCAATAGAATTTAAAAAAGTGAAGAAATATGATGTTTTTTCAATATAATTTTTTTAAAACTTAAATTTTGATGTAATTTATATCTCCACAAAATGTTTAGCATTTAATTACCTTGCAAATAAAGAATCTTTAAAAGAAATGCTCCAGACCTTTTTTGATAAAGAAAACATTAACAGATTTGTGCATTTCCTTCTTTGCATTGTTTATTTTAGGCCAGTTTCAAATCCTTTATTTTTTTTTTTGTCAGTGATATATTCATTATTATTACATAGAGGAATAAAAATGGAGAAACATCTTAGAAAGCCAGTTGATATGAGAAAACAAAACAGCTTTCTTGATACAAAAACTTTTCACTTGCAATTAATATGAAACCAGTGGCTTTAATAGATTTCACAAGTCTGACTTTTTTTTTCCAAGGGAGAAAACTCTGCGATTAATGACTTAGAAAAAATAACTTCTCGTTTGTAACAAGAATACATTAAGTATGCTTTTTTTTTGCTTTTTTTTTTTTGCTTTTTTTAAAATTTTTCTTAAAATTTGTAAAACCTGCAACTTTTGTTTGTAGTTTCAATAAAACACCTGGTTGGGATCAGGTGTTAAGAACAGAAGATTATTCTTATAAGAATAAAAAAAGGAGGAAAAATGTGAATGATACCATTTTTCTAGATAAGGAAAGAATTGATCCAATGCAAAATGTCCATAAATCATGCAGAAGATATTTGGAAGAAGAAAATATTTTGAAAGAAGATTAAAACATACCTTGAATAATAAATAATTCACATGCTTTGAAAAGATATGTAAAGAATAAAATTGATACAAATAAATGGCTATTCCACCTTTTGTGTGTGTTTACACACACACACACATATATATATATATATATATATATATATATATATAAAGTCCTAAAGGACAAAACACATCACGAGAAAACTTTTTCCACTTTGTCATACATTTTTCCCATATATATATATATATATATATATATATATAGGGAAGATGAGAATGAATAGAGTACAATTCCAACGTTCGTAACATTTAATTTAAAAGACCAATATTCTTTATTTTAGGATATTACATCAAAAAACATGTCAAAATCGCTACACAATTGCAGTCGTGTTTTGATGCATATCAAATGAATCTCATCAGGCGATTGTAAATTACTGGTGAGTGAACAATTTATTCAGATTTAAAAGCAAAAAACAGCCCCTTTTTACAAAAAAAAGAAAAAAGCAGGGATTATAAGGTTTGTGGGCTTTACTCAGATCAACCAATCAAATATGACCTATGTTAACTTTAAACTCAGGGAAGAAGCAAAAATTAAGAAATTATTTTTTTTATAAATGGGTCATGACCCGTAGATTTGAAATCAATGGCAGCAACAGACATTAAACAGGAGCAGATGTAAATAGATACATATTATACATTAGATAATGTCATTTCCTAAGAAAAAAATGTAGTGGTAATCTAACAAAATGATAGACATATTTTTTGATGTAATATCCTAAAATAAAGTACATACATACATACATACATACATACATACATATATATATATGTATGTATATGTATATATATTTTGACAAATCAGTGTGGTATTGAAGATGTAGTTTTTCTTGTTAAGTCATAAACTTACACACTGAAATAATACTCTTGTATGATTGTAGCCATTTAAGTTTAATTTGGTTATTTGCTTTGAATCAGTTTTAAGCAATGTATCCTGTAAACTCTTTCCCAAAGAGGTATATTTATCTGAACATAACATATACATACCCTTAGAGTGTCCATTCTCTAACTACTTTCGGCTGCTTTCTCAACCAGAGTAATTTCCAGTAAGGGTAAAGAATGTTTTAATTATCTTTGTGACTTTTTTTGTCATTGTATCGCAGTCAGAAATAAAAATTACAAAAATAAATAAAATGAGGAGTCAGCAATTAAAAATAAATAATTTTAAAGTCATGATGTTTATGTCTGTCATGGAAAAAAATTAATGAACATAATGTTCATATAATATTTTTTTCTTTCCCTTTTTTTCTCCAGATGGTGACATTTAACAAAATAATATTTTCTTGTAAAATAAACTGATGGAATGTAATGAGAAAAAAAAAAAAAAAAAAAAAAAAAACTTGGAAAGTTTTAAAAAAATTCTTGGGGGAAGTATTAGTACGTATTTTTTTTTTTTCTTTTTTTTTTTAAATAAATAAAACTTCTAATAAAATGTTGGAGAGAATCAAGTGGTCAAGTTGAAGAATGGTGTGCTGCTTAAAGTAGTTGTAGCTAAGGTTGTAGTTGTTAGATTTACCGTAGTGGTTGAAGGGACGATATTGCAATAAGGAAGCTGTGCACCGTGGTTACATTTGGTGGCATCCTTGAAATCTACCACAACCATAATAGAACCGACAATGAAAATAAGGAAACCAAAAATTGCCACAAGGCCAGGGAAGATGTTTCCTCGAGACAGAATAGGGTCAGGACGTAGCTTGATGACGCAGATAGATGGGAAAATATAAGCCAGTGGACATGCTGCCAATATGCCCTGAGGGAGAAAATAAAATACTTCAAAAATACATTCATAATAGGGAATATTTTTTTGTCTTACAAAATATATATGTTATATGCAACATAAATATATTATAAAAAATACATTTTATTGATTTAATCAGGTAGCAAAATTTTTGTCTTGGGGTTCCATATAACATTTGATTGGGTGTGAATGCTTAACTCATTAATACTCCCTGTAAAATCAAGGATTATTATTTACACTATTTATATTTGGACTATTGTCCTCATTTTGTGTTGTTATCACAACATTTTAGCCATTGTGCTTTCCAGCCTTCTTCAGGTGTATATCAATCTGGGTAGCCAACAAGGAATTTTGAACTGAACCCTTTATTTAATTTACAGGGGTAAACTATTCTCATTCCACTGCTCATGTCTAGGGATATCTCGTCTAGTTCTTATTTATAAAATAAATAAGAACTAAATGATTTTTATTTTACAAATAAAAACTAGATGATATCCCTAGATATGTGCAGTGGAATGAGAACAGTCTGTCCATGTAGATTAAATAAAGGGTTCAGTATGGAATTCCCTTTAGGTTACTCAGATTGTTATACACCTGAGGAAGGCCAGAGAGCATAATGGCCGAAACATTGTGATAGCAACAACAAAGATGAGGACAATAGTCCAAATATAAATAGTGTAAATAATAATAACTCCTAGTCCCAGAAATTCAGACAAAAATAATTGAGTATTAATTATAAAATTCAGTAATGTAAGTTGATAAAAATTTGACATTAATTATAGGTAATACCCACTGCACCATTTTGGGAGCAGTAGGCATTGATGGGTTTAGAGAGCAAGATTGAGGAGAAGTTGGTAAGAAACTGTAAAGGAGGAAACACAAAGAGCAAGTAAGAAAACTAGAGAAAAATGCAAAGAAAAGCAAATGACATAAAAAGGGAGAAGTGATTGAGACAAAATCATAAACTGAGAGGCTTGTTGTCTTCAGTTTTAGTATTTCTATACACTTTTGATCTCTTAAAATGGATGAAGCTTTAATCTATATTATTTTGTAAAAAAAGTACACACCTTTTGTAGCTAAGTAGATACTAATGCAGTTAAAATAAAAATTCCTAGTCCTAGATTTTAACATACAGAATTCAACAATGTTTAACCTTCGTGCCCCACCCAAAAAAAAGTGTAAAAAGGACAGTTTTTCCCTTGACATCACTAGTATTTTAAATATCATTACTCCTCAGCAATGTTTATTATTTTAAAAAGTGATAATTAGAATTTTAATAAAACCCAAACAAATGAAAGTGAATTTATACATATTTTTGTTCTTGAGAATTTACAGCAAAAATATTAAACACTATTTATTAGATTGCTTATTTATAAGAATAATTTTATATTTACAACATTCTAAAAACTAATACAATTAAAACTAATGCAATGCAATATTTATAATTTATCAATTTATAAAGAAATATGAACATTTTTTATTCATAAATTTATAAACATTTCTTACATATGTGAATCAGTTATAAGGAAATCTTTATTATTTACCATTTTTGAAAATTCAAATTGATTGGCAATTAGTTGATTTTTTGCCAACCATTCTAATAAATCTGATAAACAGTGTTTATTATTTTTGTTGTAAATTCTCCTGAACAAAGAAAATGTACAAATTCACTTTCTTATGTTTAGGTTTTATTAAAATTCTAATCGTTGTTTTTAAAACAATAAACATTGCTGGGAATTGATAGTAGTTAAAAAAAATAATAGGGGTGTCAAGGGAAAACCATCCTTTCGACACACTGATTTTTTGTGAGTATGAAGGTTAAAGATTTCTCAGAATTCCTTTTGATTAAAATTAAAATCTTACTTACATTGAGTGCTAATACAATTCCTAGACATTCTGTAGTCATGGAGATAGCGCCAGTGAAACCAACCAGAATTGCAGTGAGTAGCACATGTTTCCAAAGACATAATTCTTCTGTGAGGCCAAGAAACAAATTCTGGACGACCTGGAAAAAAAAAATAATGTAAAGAATAAAGATTAATTTAACAAAAAAAAATAAAGATATAAAAAATTATAAATGGGAATATAAAAAACAATGACATAAAAATATGAGGATATAAAAACAATATTTATACATAAATTATGATATCAATAAAGAAAAGAGGATTTCAAAAAAGAAATGATGATATCAAAAAAATAAATATGAAAATAAGAGGATATAAAAACAATATTAAAAAGTAAATGAGGCTATCAAAAAATAAATGATATAAATATATGAGAATATAAAAATATTAAAAAGTAAATAAGGATATTAAAAAATAAATAAGATAAAAATATGACAACATAACGACAATATTAAAAAATAAATGATATCAAAAAGAAAAATTCTTTACTTTTAAATTCATTTTTATTTATTTTTTCATCTTTCATGATGTTTAAAAGTTTTATTGAACCTTAAAAACATAAACATTTTTCCTTCAATAAAACTTTTAAATGTGAACATGTTTTTTTTTACTTTTTAAATGTAAAACCTAAAAACATAAAGCATATTTTTTACACTTTTTTTTTTAAATGTAAATAGATTTTTCATTTTTTCAAAATAAAACTTTTCTCTACTTATGTTTTTAGTAGTTTCATTTCTTTAACAAAGTTTGTCTGTTGAAGCCTAACATTTTACATTCTTTTTATTTATGTGAGTTGCTATCACTTTTAAAACATGATGTCATCTGTGTGTCTCTCTTTTGCTATATATACTTTTTTGTTTTCTTTTTAATGACAATGCTGTCACAAGTCAACAATTAGTAAGCAAATATATTCAGGGTACCACCACAAGAGGGACAGCAAGATAAATACTGCTAAGCATTACAAAGGATATTTAGTTGTGGAGAGCCACGATCAACCACATTCTGAAGGGACATAGCATATAGAAGAAGATTCTAGTAGCACCATGCTCGGAAACTGCAACTTTGTAGCAGAAACTTTGTTACTACTTGGGTAGAAATTGAATGCAATAAACTTTTCATATCTATATTATATTTGACTAGCTTGATGAGTTCAGGAAATTATTATTTTCTGGAATCAAATTTCTAAAGGTTTTTAATTTGTAACAAAATTTCATTGGTTATTTTAAAATGATAATCCCGTATAGTGAGCTAGTGTTGAATTTTATATTTAAAAACAGCAAAAATCATTTCTTTATTTTCTTGTTCATATTGATATGAATTGGAATGATTATATTGAGTCAATTCCTAAGTGTGCAGCTAAGAAATTTGGTTCATTGTAACATCCTAGATAATTTCTTTTACTCAAATCTACCTTGCACCTTTATAGGTCTACCATTTTTTCATGCATTGAATACTGTTGCTACATCTAGTCTAGTGCTTCTGATATGTATCAAGAAATTCTAAACAGAATCCAAAGAGGAATCTGCAATATAATTGGTCATGACCTTGTATATTGGTTTCAATCACCTTCTCTCCATCATATCATATCTTACCTGTGCTTTTCTATATTTTCTTTGTGATTGTTCTGATGTGCTTGTGTCGATCTACATTGCACACACATACATACATACACAAATAAAAATCACATACAATGATAAGCATTCATTGCTTAATAAATTACCACTATGTTATTATAGACAATTTACAAATCGCAGCAATGCGACAATTTTGTAATCACTCTATTTTCATGTAGTCAATTTTGTTCACTTTTGAGAGAAATGAATCCCAGAAGCTTTCTTGAGTCTCCCCAAAACTCACTTGCTGATTGGTCAATGCTAACCAATCAGATTGTCTGCACATGAAGAATAAATCTTCCTGCGCAGCGAATCGGAGCCTATGGTCACCTATATAAGCAAGAAATACTCTTAGATAATTAGTGAGATTTCAGCTTCCAAACGAATCCACAACAGTTGAAACCTTGCGCCAATCTTCTCATTCACACCACCACTCACATGCTGAATATTCCTTACACTCACATAATCTTTTCTTACACAGCAAAACTGTTGAGAACATTTATTACAAGAAACTATCACAAACTTTCTTTCAGTGAACTTTGGAATACAAAATAATAGTTAAAGAGAGACAACTCTTGTTTTATTTAACCCTTTTTCCTACTCAATGCATGTCTTCCTTTCACATCCTTGTACAGCTTGTTAAATACATATTTTATGTGTAATGATGTCTTTTGCTTATCCTTTTTCGCGTCAGTTTTGTTTCCTGATCTAAAGTTAAATTAATGTGGTGAAGTCCGCCACAAGCTTTATTACCTCAACTTCATAAATTTAAGCATAGTACTTGATAGTCAGTTAGGTCTTATCATTTTATTCTAATAGTTTCTTTTCTCACCTGTAGAACTCTGTTGCTTCTTACTTTCCTGATAACTAGAATCTACAAAAATTTAAATGCAATATCAATTGTCATATTCAACCTCCTTGAATCCTGTTCTTTTTATTGTCCTTTCTCTTTCAGTAACATTTTCTCAGTTTCCTTCATTCTACTGTCTTTTATCCTCAGTAACCCCATGCATCTTAGTGGATTTATCCCCTTGCTTGGAGTGAAATGATTAAAAAAAGAAGTGTCTGTCTGTCAAAAAAAAAAAAAAAATCACTACAAGCAATTATCACTTTAGATAACATTTATTTTTTGTTTGATACTAATTCAGTTAAGTTGGTTGATTCTATGATATATTAACTCTTGTTAGGTTACTCTTTGATGAATTTAGTATGGGGTTCCCAATGAGGATCGAATTTTTTACTCAACAGTAATGGTCAATCAAATTAGTTTTGCTATTACCCAGGGTCAGATTAAAACCCATAGGGGCCCTAAGCACTTAAAACATTTTCAGGCCCCCATACATCTGCGAGTTAAGTATGCTAGTATGGAGTCTTGGTAAGTAGTGCAAATAAAGGATATCACCTGAGAACATGCGATGTGGAAACACTAGCTGGAAATATAGAAGGAATTGAAGGCACATATGACCATCAAGAGAGGCTGATCATCAGTTCCAACCCAGAACAACATCAACCAAGAAAGCACCAATTATAGCTGAGCAGCCATTGTCACATGAGTCACAATGAGATTCTGTGACCAGAAGTGGTCGAGTAATCAACAAACCAGCATGTCACATAAACATATGGTTAGCATAATGTCAAACGAACATGAAGGTAGTCTACCCCCTGTTCACAAAAATTAAATCCCATTAAGTTAATTAGTAATACTAACTTATTCAAGAGAGCTGATGTGATGTATTGAGTAAATAAAAAGCTCATTATCTCCCTTAGCTCATTCCCTTATTAACCAATCAGAATGGCAATAAAGATTCACTGTGGATCAGTTGTCTTCTCGTTCATAATGGCATCTCGTTGATTCAAATGTTAATCATGTTTGACTTATTTCTTTAGACATATACAACATCATATCATTACAATTTCAGTGTGGCCCTCTTCTCTTGACACTTTAAGTACATGCTTATTTTGCTTAATAGTTTATCCAGCTCTGCTATTACCCCATACTGAAAGATCTTTGTTTTATGTGATCAATTACTATGTATTCTAATATACTTTAGAAATAACAGAATAAAAGACATGTTTCTCTATAGGACATGTAAAATCTGAAGAGAGAACATGTGGGGAAAATGAAATATAACCAATAAATAAAATAATAATAATGAATAAAAAAATTTCTAAAAATCCATTTTCCCATGATGCAAGTTGCAAAGAAACTGGTAACGGTTTTCTGGTCACATGAGTTAATTTATGATCCCACTTCCAGAAAGGACAGAATTTACCTTTTTCTCCTCTTGGCTTCAAGATGTGAACCATGCAATAATAGCATTCCCACTTTTCCCAGTCCACAGGTGACAGAACTTTTTTCCACTTACTTCATTGGATGTGTTTTAGCAGCTCTACTCATGTTTGGCCTTCCGAACTCAGCGTGAAGCTGACATGAGCTCAACCAGCTTAACCTGTTCATATTCTTATATTCCATAAATTATTTTAGAACCAGAAAGAAAAATGGACATATTTGGTCTTCTCAACTCAGCACAAAGCTGAATTGAGCTTGACCATATTTACCCATTCATATCCTTAATTCCCAGAAATCATTTCAGAACCAAAAGGAAAATGGACATACTCAAGAGATCTTTTAGCTTTTCAATACAGTTAACATAAAAGAAATAAATGTCTGTAGCAGAGACTCAAGTTTTTGGTATGCTTCTATCTTCTTTGTTTCCATGTTGAAAATGTACCTTTACCTAAAAAATACACACAAAATCTACAAGCATGTTAATATTTACTGTAATTGATAGTTGCAATGATCCCAGTCCAGCACAGGTCAAGTTCTGTCAATCTTTCTTACTGTTCCTCTGTGTGGATCACCATTTATTCAGGTTTTTGTCCATGCATACAAATTAGTGATATTTTAAAAGCACTAGAAACACGTATGCGCATTACTCTTAAACTGCAAATAGTGGCTCCGACCAGGCAGGTGAGACATTGTGACCTCTTAACCACAGGTAGGTTAGAATTCCTTGGTCCTATTCCACCACACTATCCTTTGATCTTGTGATTACGAAAGGTGCAGCTGTGTGCAGATCGTTTCTAAACACTCCTCATAGTGAAAGAAAAAAATATTTCAAAGATACAATGAATAAATTGGAGAATATATGATTTAAAACAGAGAAAATGAAATTCCCTTGACAAAATGCAAAAGAGTTTTACCTCTCTGCAAACAAAACACTCCACTGGAAAAGTTAGCATGATGGTGATCGTATAAACAATACGAGCTACGTTGACAAGACTGTCATTATAACAGTAATTTTCCAATAAATCACCTGAAATAAAAAAAAAACAGAAATTTCAAATTATTTAAAGCATATAAAATCAAGAATTAACAATTTACTATTAGAAATACTAGAGAGTCAGGTACCTTAAGCAATGGAAAGTTTATCTTAGGTGCAAATGACCAGAATTCTAATCCAAATATTGTTAGGTACATATTACAAGAGGTGTCTTAATAATCAGGCAGTGGTCAGAATTTTTCCTCATATGCTATAATAAAAAGGGGCTTTAATAAAACAGTTGTGGTGTAACATTTTACCTAATTGTCTCCCCTGGACCGGAAATTCATGAATTTTCTGTCTTTGGCGGAAGTGTCCAATAAAATTGTGTAGGTGTTTTTTTTTTTTTAATTGAATAAAGTCTATGAAAAGGTATATTTCTTGTTAATTAATTTCTTAATTCATTACAGGTAGATTGGAAAATCATTTAAGGGGCCCAAAACTGCAAAATTAATACCTTACTTAAATTCTGTGTGTGTGTGGGGGGGGGGTCTAAAAATACATTACCCTGCCCCTCCCATCATCTATGAGACACCTAACAGTGGGTAATTGAATAACATCCACCCTCTTCTATGAAACACCAAAGAATGAGTAGTTGAATAACACCCCCCCGGTCTATGAGACACCTAAGAGTGGGTAGTTGAATAACACTCCCCTCGTCTATGAGACACCTAAGAGTAATTTAAAAATACTCCTCTCGTCTACAAGACACCTAAGAGTGGGTAATTTAATAACACCCCCCTCGTCTATGAGACACCCTAAGAATGGGTAATTTAATACCCCCCCACTCGTCTATGAAACACTTAAGAGTGGGTAATTTAATAACAACCCCCCCACGTCTATGAGACACCTAAGAGTGGGTAGTTGAATAACACCCTCCGTCTATGAGACACGTAAGAGTGGGTAATCTAATAACACCCCCCCACGTCTATGAGACACCTAAGAGTGGGTAGTTGAATAACACCCTCCGTCTATGAGACACCTAAGAGTGAGTAATTTAAAAATACTCCTCTCGTCTACAAGACACCTTAGAGTGGGTAATTTAATAACACCCCCTCGTCTATGAGACACCTAAGGGTAATTTAATAATACTCCCCTCGTCTATGAGACACCTAAGAGTGGGTAATTTAATAACACCCCCCCCGTCTATGAGACACCTAAGAGTGGGTAGTTGAATAACACCCTCCGTCTATGAGACACGTAAGAGTGGGTAATCTAATAACACCCCCCCACGTCTATGAGACACCTAAGAGTGGGTAGTTGAATAACACCCACCATCTATGAGACACCTAAGAATGAGTAATTTAATAATACTCCCCTCCTCTACAAGACACCTAAGAGTGGGTAATTTAATAACACCCCCTCGTCTATGAGACACCTAAGAATGGGTAATTTAATAATACTCCCCTCGTCTATGAGACACGTAAGAGTGGGTAATTTAAGAACAAAATGAAAAAGGAAATCCTATATGATGCAATTCAATCTTCAAAATTATTTCTTCAAATTAAATAATGCTTTTATTGATGAAATTATATATATGTCAGCAGTAAGCACTTCAGCATGGTGTAATGATTAGCAAACTTGTCTTGCTAGATCAATTACCACTGAGTAGAGTGTTCAATCCTCATTCAGTGCCCCACACTTTGAATTACTAATTATTTCTGAATCAAAAATAAAAATGGACATATTTGATGTTCCCAACTCAGCACAAGGCTGACTTGAGCTCGGCCATGTTTATCCGTTCATATCCTTACTTTCCAGAAATCATTTCGGAACCAAAAGGAAAGCAGACATACACAAGAGAGCTTTTAACTTGCACCACAACTAAGCTACATTTAGTAAATCTCTATATATATGCAGGGGGAGGGTATGAGAATATAAACAGACATTGACTATAATTAAACATTGAGAGAAAATGCTGAAGATGCAGAGGTGCTTAATTTTAAATTTCTGGTGTCCAATGTGTCTAGATATACAGCATTTATCCGATTTCATTCAGCTTCTTACTGTTTTGTTTTTATTCTTGTTGTATTTAATATCCAATCTCTGATGGTCATTTTTTGTCATGGTGGAAGGGCTTGTGTGGTCCAATGACCGAGAGTGATGCCGTCAGCAAGATCAAAGACGAGGACGCAGACTAAGTGCAACCAACCCCAATGAACCTAAAAAAAGTGGAACAAGCAGATGACATTTACAACAGATCTCAACGTTTAACCCAACAAATAAGGAGGGTTACGTATGCTACAGAAGGCACCACTCTGTAACAGTCAGCAGCAGTCCATAACTGGATTCTGCATATCTCATTGCACATGTACTGCAGAAGAAGCCCATGAAATCAACTGTGTGGGTCACTTCTTGGGAAGTTGAGGTCCACCTTATACAATTCAAATTTTCTTCTACTCTGATTGTCTTTCACCTCCAACCAATTTTGGCAAAGCCAAATAGTGATAGGGAATGGATGACAGGAGCAGGTTTTGGTGAAACTGGAAGCTTCTAGTCCTGGACTTGCACATTGGCAATGAATCTAGCCATCAATATAATCATAGACAAAGCAATTAGCAAAGAAGAAATTAAATTCTTGGATACAGGATTGTAGAAAAATAATAAGCTTTAAAATTATTGTTGCTTACAATCAATCTTTTTTCTCTTGTACATGATACTTGTAACCAGTTCAACCATCTTTTTTTCCTTTTCCCTTCTTCTCCTTCTTCCTATTCCTTCTTTTTTTTTTTCATTTCCTTGTCGCCTCATTCTTTCCATTTTTATGTATCATTGACAGCCAAAATTTGCATATGCACAAAGATAATCTTGCAAGAGAGTATCTTACTCCAAGATCTAACTATTTTAAATATGTGACCCCTGAAGCTGCCATTTCTTTCACTTTTGGACAGTTTACACTGCAAGACAAGTTCGAATCTTTGCTTGTGTTGGAGGTAAGTTATTTTATTTGTGATTATATTCTCGTGTTTCAAAAAATACATGCAACCCTGGGCTTCTTTGCCCTCTGCAGTAGTTCACAACAGGGATAAAGGTGCCGCCACCAATTATAATATTTCACATTGTAATAACACTGGTTCTGTTAAAGAAGATGAAATGCCATGTTGTAAATTTACCATGGAAGACTCAGAAGTTAATGCATTTTATATGCATATTTCTTTTTTAATCATTTCACCCTAAATAAGGTGATAATGACACTAGGATGCAGGGGGTTTACAGGGAGTGAAAGATAATGAGAAAACCTTAGCAAGGAGAAGTGAGGAAAAAGGACATTAAAGAAAGAGGATTCAGGAAAACAGAAGATGGCAATTGATGTTGCATTTAAATTTTTGAAGATTGTAGGTACAGGGAAGCAAAGAATTGGAGGGAAGTTCCACAGGCACAAAGTGTGAGAAAAATATTGCCTTAATAAATTGATTTAAAAAAAATAAGACTACATTCTTTAAGATGAAATTATATTTAGACGTTGTCTATATCTCTGAGATGATTATTATGATTACTTGCATTATTTACATTATTCAGACTGTTATCCTCGTCTTCATTACCATATTCACAATGTTTTGGCCATTGTACACACTGTCCTTCTTCAAGTGATTGGAATTTTGAACTCAACCCTTTATTTCATCCACCGGGGTAGCTTGTTCTAGTTCCACATGCCATGCCTCTTCTGGATGTCTCAGTTATTTCCCTTTAACTCAACTCTCCAAGTTTTGGTTCAACACTACTGTGGCCTGGTATTTGCACAGTGGATAAAGGCGTTGGTTAGATCCAGTGACAGGACCGAAAGACTGTGAGTTCAATACCCGGTTAAGGCTGGAGAACTTGGAGAGGGGAATTAACAGGAGATAACTGATAACTGACATCCATTAAAAACAAGGCATGTGGAAGTAGAACAGTCTACTCCAGTGAGTGAAATAACGGGTTCAGTTTGACATTCCAACCACCTGAAGACGGCCGGAATGTACAACGGCCGAAATGTTGTAATAAATATGGCGACAAAGATGAGGACAATAGTCCGAATAATGTGAATAGTGTACATAACACCTCATCTCAGAAATATAGACAGATACTAAAGAGAATTAAAGGTGTTTTTTTTTTAAACTACTATGATATTGTGCTCAGACAAATGTAATTCATAAACATTGTAATACGTGATTCACACCAGGAAATATCTGAATTGAGTGTAATGTCAATCAGGAGCCTTTGATCTAAGTGGAGTTGATCTGTGGTGACTTTAGTATTTACTGGGCTTACTCTAAGAGATAGCAAGATAAGCTTTCTACTTTGTGTCACAACAGAAGTTCAAAACCTAGAAGGTAACCTCATAACCACTAGGTTCAGAATTGGGTCTCAAGGAATATCAGTGGCAGTGCTAATATAAACAGGAGGTCAATCCAGTGGAATTTAGGATATGCATCCATAAAGAAACAAAATGACAGAAAGTTGTAAAAATGACAACCCATGAGAGGAAAAGGGAGGGTCTTCACATATCTACAAGAAGAAAATTGACTGTTGGAAAAAAGTCAACAAAAAACCACATACTCTTGATTTATCTTACAGAAGTTCAAAGTGAATAAACCATTATTTTATGTATGAAATATTTAATCTTGTATTCTTATCATGCATTCTGTAAAATCAGTGATGTTAAAGCAACATTGAATGGGTGACTACTTGGGAATACCAGTTGCTGGATGTGTGGCTGGTATAATGGATAATGGTTCAGAATTGTTAATCAGAGAGCTGAGTTCCAATTCTTGTTGGCCTTTTTACATTCATTTACACACAAATACCCTTTGGACAGGTATGAATTCACCTCTTCTCCCTCCAGCTATGGGTTAATTAGTAAAACTTTTATCACTAAATCATTATTATCTCCAAAAAAAATTCTTACAATCTAAAAATATTTTCTGGCTTTACATAACCTGCAAAGGGTTGATAAACCATAAAAAAGGAATCAATCAAAAAGAAAATCTTATCAGACATTACTAACAATGTTAGAATACCAGTCTGCAAACATATAATTTTCATTTATTATAATGTAATTCTGCTTCTGTTTTCAGGCATTTTATGTTCTCCAGCAATGGCCTAATGTCAAGGCAATGGTCAAGTGTCAAGACTGATAGATCCAAGAGTTATAACCTGTATGAACAAATACCTTTTTATTCTAAAAGATTTATATAGAAAATAAATACCCACCTTGTGTGTATCCTGTAAATGATACATAGCCAACAATACCAAAAAGTAAAGTAAAAACTGTAGCTGCAGCAATGCTTGCATGAGTGACAGTACCCCATCGTGCAGTGGTTGGGTTTTCAAGAGACATATGAATCATAAATGTGTTGTGATGACAAACGTAAGCTGAAGAAAGAAGAAAGTGGAAAGAATATCAAAATAACATAAAAATTCATTTGGTATCAGTTAAAATATCAAAATAACAATATTCAGAAGAAATAATAAATAAAATAAAAAGAAATAAAAAATGTTTAAATGAAATAATATTTAATGAAATTAAATATTATAGGAACCAGCTCTGTAGTATGATCTTTTAATGTGAACAAAATTTGATCTAAAGTTTTTATTCTAATTTAATATTTTTTGCATTTCTATTAATCCACTGTACAGATAAGACATTGAATTATCAGTTATCAATCCATTTTATAGGATTAAAGCTGTTGTTTTAATTTGATTGAATTTAATTGCAAAGTTTTTATTTCTTGTTGGTAAAAAAAAAAAATGGCTGATGCTAACCTCCAGGAGAGTGACATGACCGAGTTAACATTTTTTGCTGACATGAAATGGAAAGAATGAATCAATTGCTATGTCTGCTGCTAAGAAATTTGGTTCACTATGTCATGCTAGACAATCTTTCTCATCAGAATCTGATACATTTATAAGTCTACCATTCATCCATGCATTGACACATCTTGTCTGGTGCTTCTGCTATGCATTTAAAGATTCTTGATAAAATCCAATGAAGAATCTGCAATGTTATTTGTCCTGGCATCTTGGCTTCAGACATTTTCCCACCAGCGTAACATATCTTCTTTTTCTACAAATATTTTCATGGTAATTGTTCCCATTAGCTTTACTCTTTAGTAGTTAGACTTTATAAATTTTAGTTTACTTGTTATAAAGTTTGTATAACACTCATAGTTACTGGTTAGTAAGACTGTAAGGAAAACATTGGAACAAAAGGTTAAGTGAAGAAGAGTTTAATTTCATGATAACATGGATTGAGAATACATTAGTTCAGTATGATAAGTGTATAACTGAAACTTTGTGACCCACTTTTTGTTACTGTTCCATGAACAGACATTCTACTCATAGTGGATGAATGAGTACATGTTTCAATATTAATTCTAGAGAAGGTTACACAATCTTTCTACACAACAGTACTATTAGACTGGTGGTAAGTTGCCATCATTTACAGTTGAGATATCTAGATGTAACTGTAAGTTCTATGTTAACAGTTTCTTCTCTTGCACTTCTCACTTGTAGAACTTTCTTCTAGATTTTTGCTTTCCTGTTAACTTTGAGCTTTAAAAATCTAAATGGAATTTCAATTGTTATCTTGTTTTCTTAATTCTTGTTCTTTTATTGTTCTCTCCCCTTAATAACATTTTATTTTTCTCATATTCTCTCACACTCAGTAACTCCTTGTGTCTTAGTGACTCTTTTGACTTGCTTGGGGTGCAATGATTAAAAAAAATGACCAAATATCAGAACTCATTTTTAATTCCCCTTGGTCAGTTTGAGAACTTTTCAACATTCACTTATAAGTAATTCAGAAGTTATTTGTGGAATTGTTACTATGTCATCTCTTACACTCATGACCTATGACATCTGTTAATCTCTTAATTGATTTTCTTATGAATAAAAAAATATTTCATTATGAACACCCAGTGAGAATATTGCAAAAAGGACCAAAAGTCAAATAGAAGATCAAGCATACTTTCAAACAAGGGTCGTTTGTTTTCACACACATATGCACACAAACATAAAAATCAACCAGAAGAAGGTATATTTCACTTTTATTGGAATTCATCAACACTTCCCACAATGCAACAGATTTCTTTCTCTTCTCCTATCAAGACTACAATACCCAGCCTCTAGTTCTCTGCAATTGGTATGTGTCAGTTGAAAAGATAAATAGGAGGAAGAAATGTATGAAATAAATTTAAAAAAAAGAAATACCTCATAGATTGTGAGCTATACATATATCCTCACACAATACTTGATCAATGGTAAGAGATATCACAAACAATTAAAAGCTCTAAAATTACACATAATACTTGTCTGGCTTTTGGATGAAGAAGAAAATTGGTTTCACTTGAGCCAGTCTGATCTCAGCAGATGTTATTCATCATATGAATAATTAACCAATCAAATGGTTCTATTTAGTCGATGAAAGTGTGAATTAGTGATCATTCTGAAAAGAAATAAAAGGTGAATCAGTAACTGAAAAAATCAGTAGCAGTAGATCAACTTTCCTCAGAAGACCCAATTGGTACTGCAGTAACTTCAAAGAAACACTGTTCACCTGTTATTCACAACCACAAGATAGACATCAAAGACACCAGCTATTATTTCACTGTTTTCCTTCCTCTTCTGAATGTATGTACAAAAACAAACCACCTATTTTTTATAAACATATACTCTTTCACACACATATATTTACAGAACTCTTTTTTATTGATCTAAAGCTAAACTAAATACTAAACAATGTTTCTCAAGAAGCTTTTCTCAGTTTTGTAAATATCCATTTGTATATGGTTTTATGTTTGATTGCTATCTACCATTTATACAATTTGTTTTCTTATTCATTCTTGGTATTATTGAAAACTAAAAGCTTTGTTCCAAATTCTGTTAGTGAACTCAAGATTGACAGAACCTTTGTTATCATCCTAAATAGTAATTTTGAATCTCCTACAGGGATTGGCTTATGGCCACATCACATTGAAACATCAGTTCCCATATGATCACCAAAGTGAAGCAACATTGTGCCTGGTCAGTACTTAGATGGATAACCACTTGGGAATACCAGGTGCTGTAAGCTTGGATATGTGGGTGATATACAGGACAGTGGCTTAGAATTACTTGGTGAGCCGAGTTCCAATTCCAGTTTGGATTAATTATATTCACTTATGCACAAATACTATTGGGAAAGGCATGAATCTGCCTCTTCTCCCACCAGCTATGGGTTAATTAGTAAGACTTGTATCACTAAACTATTATTATCATGAAAAAAGTCTTACAATCTAAAATATTTTCTGGCTTTAAATAACCTGCAACAGATTGATAAGCCATAGAAAACAAATAAATCAATCAAAAACATACAGGGTTTCTGTTTGAAGAAGGCCAAAAAATATATCAGCCAAAATGTGTTAATCACTTTAAAAATGAAATAATCATTTTAGCAAAAGGTTGAACAATGAAAACCCTTAATTTCAGAGCTTTTTAAAAAACAACTGTCATACAGAATCAAGACTGAAATTAAGGAATTGTTATAAAATAACAGCCTGAAAGTATTAACATTAATAAGTATCATGATATTAGCAATTGATGCTCTGTTTATCATAATTTAATTGTTTTGATAACCAAAATAATTTATACATCAAAAGCAAAAATGAAAAAGTTTTTTTACAATAGCAAAAGACAGAAATGGTTGTCCTTAAAAACACATACAGTGGGACCTCGCTGTACAAGTTTAATTAGCTCCCAGACTAAGCTTCTATTGCAAATTACATGTATTGAAAAGCATTTCTTCCCACTGAAATTAATGGAAGATTAATTAATCCGTTTCAATTTCCCCAAAGCAGCCAAAATATCTATTTTTAGAATTAAAAAAATAGAAAAAGGACATTAAGAAATTAAATTCCCAAAAGTACATGTAATAAGAACTTGATAAGAGAGAATGAAAGAAATAAACAGCTTTTATTAAACTACAAACTTTTCATAAAAAGTTTCTGGTGTTTTCATTCAGAATTTAAGGACTTTTGTGGCATTTGATTCACTCCTGGAACTTGTAGCTCATTTCTTTAGAAACTTATCAGTAGAAATCTGTTTCATTCTTGGTTTCAAAATGCCATGAAAATAGTCAACACAATTTTTGTTGAGCAAAGGATCCGCATGACTTGCACTTAATTTTTGTGGATGGTATTTTTCCACAAAGTTGTGAACTTTTTTCTACATCGTCAACACTTCTTTTATCTCATTTGTGGGGGCAACCTCCAACACACTTTCCTCCTTGGATAGTTACATTACCACCTCTATGTTTTGATGCTCCTGAAGCAACTGAAGTTCCTGTCATCAGCTCCTCTCCATGCTCATCAATGAGCTTATCAACTTTGCATGCAGCAACCTTGAGGCCCAAAGATTCGAGTTAGCAAAATTCCCAAATTCCTTGTCAAAGATGCATTCAGGCCACTGCTTCCTCCATGCAGAATTCAGGGTCCTCCTTGTCACATCCTGCCAGGCCACATCAATGTTGCTGAGGCAATTCAAAATGTTGAAGTGGTCCTTCTATAAATCATGAAGAGCCAAGTTTGTATTCTCGGTAACATCAAAGCACTGATGAAACAGTTGCTTAGTATACAATTTCTTAAAATTGGAAATCACTTGCTGGTTCATGGGCTGCAAGATAGGGGTGAGGTTCAGTAGCAGGTAAAGAACTTTAATAAAATAAAAATTTTTTCAAGATTTCATTGTAGAAGTTTGAAGGGAGTCCAAGGGCATTATTGAGGTTGAATAGGGTCTTTGTAGGAAGACTGATCCTTTTGAGGAACATGTGGACACGAGGGCCAAAAATGTTGTTGATCCATTCTACAAAAAATTGCCTTGTGACCCAGGCTTTACTGTTAGCCCTCCACATGATCTGCAGCTGCCTCTTCTGGATCTTATGTGCCTTGAATGCCTGGACGCCTTCTGAATGACACACAAGCTGGGGCTTGATTTTCAGATCACCACTTGCATTAGTGCAGAATATGAGGGTTATCTTTCATAGGCTTATGGTCTGGAATCTTCTTCTCCTTGGCAGTGATGTACATCATCCTTGGCATTTTCTTCCAGAAGAGTCCAATCTCATTGCTGTTGAACACTTATTGAGAGACATATTCCTCATTTGTGATAAGCAAACTGAACTCTTTCATGAATTCTTCAGCTGCCTTCTTATCAGAACTGGTTGCTTCCCTATGTCTCATGATGCTGTGCACACCAGTTCACTTCTTGAAATTGTTGAACCAGCTACAACTGGCCTTAAACTCTTCTAAGAGAAGGACTGTGATGTTTACAATGATCTTGATTACAGTCAGTTACCTTTTTTTTCATTTACCACTTACAGTAGAAAATAAGTAAATGCTTACCAAAGGATATTATTCCAAGTGCATCTGTAAAATGTCCATTTGCAAATGACCAGGCATTTGGTGTTGGTGGACTGAAATAGAAAAAAAAGATCTATTATTTTGTATCAGTTATATGAATCACTAGCCAAACAAGGGAGATAATTCCCAAGTTGTACTTGTGCAATAATTATGGGATTGAATAATATTAAATGGATCCCATGGTGGCTCCTGGTTTTTGAAGAGTATGGGATCAAAACAGGAAAACATGGAGGGCACAGTTGATGATCAATGTCTTGGTGGAAAATTTTGTTTTAAGGTTACTTTAGGATTAATTGGGGATGATTTTGATTTTTTAATATATTTTTTTAATAAAATTGTTTGAGTTTTTATGAAATTTTTTATCTATACAAAGATTCAAAAATAATTTTTAATTTTACTTTACTCAAACTGGTGAAATATCTGGAGTCTCTTCCCTTGGTTTCCATGCCTATAATCTAGAAGTTTGTGATAAAAACAACAGAGATAGAGATATCAGTCCAAATAATCCATAGAATAATAGCAATTCTTCATTTTAGAATTTCAGAATATATTAGGAAAGTTGACTAAAATGGATTAAAACCATAAAAATGATGATACTAGTCTAACTAGCTTGAAAATTAATGTGAAGTCTTCATCTGAAAATTTTAGATAATATTTGGTTGATTGTAATTGAGCATGAAAAAAGAGGAGTCAAGGAGACAGAAGATAAGAAAGTTGCATTTACATTTTTGAAGATTGTACTTGACAGGAAAGTAAGAAGCTGGATGGGAGTTCCAGAAATGAGAAGTGCAGAAGAAGAAACTATTAGCATAGGACTTACAGTTACATGATATTCATCTAATTTTAAAAGCCATGTCCCTTCAGGATATGGCTATTCATCTCTCTCCAAAGCTATCTTTTCTTTATTATCTGTGAATTGTTATGACTTCTTGGAAAAATATTGGAGTGGTTTCCTGTTCCCTTCTCCATGGTTTTGAATTCAGGGTATTCCTTCTCCTAGACTGGCTGACATCCAAGGTTACACACCCTGTCTACTCTGCTATTTAACCTATAGTTAGGGGTATAGAAATAGATATTTTTAAAAATCATTTCACTCCCATACTAGGTAGTAAAGTCACTAAGACTGAAGGGGTTACTGAGTGTATGAGATTGTTCAGCATTCACTATTACATAACAGTTCAGTACTTGTTTCTAACAAAATTTTCCTGTTTCTTAAAACTTTGTTTGGTTAGACATTTGTATTGACCCACATTTCTGCTACATCAAGTCTCTTCTTTATCTGTAAGAAGATTGTCTAGCATTCACTGCCATATGGGAGGACTGATATATATCTCTATATATAAGTATCTTTTTTTGTTTCTAGATATCTCTATATATAAGTATCTTTTCTTGATTATAAATATCTCTATATATAAATATCTTTTCTTGATTCTAGTATATTTTAGTTGGTTGACTACAGGGATAAATGACATTTGGTTAATTGTTGAAGTGTTCAAATTTAACCAAAGGAAACTTTGACACCAAAAGAAAAAAAGATTATAATATTAACAAAAATAATATAAAAATAGTATTAATGTGGCATACTATAATAAGGACATAGCTTCCAATGTATTGGGCACCTCATCGTGGTGTAATGTTTAGAAAACTTGTCTTGCTAGATCAATTACAACTGAGTGGTGAGTTCAATCCTCACTGGGTGCCCCATACTTTTGGCCTTGTGCCACATCTAAGCTGTGCTTAGAAAATCACTCTCTTCCAATGTATATACTGCACAATTGCATTATGTCGATCTTTGTATTTCTTTGGTGTACACAGATTATTATTAGTAGTAGTAGTATTTGTTGTGCTGTTAAAGTTTCAGAATTCCAAGCCAGGAGGAAGGCACTGGGAAACCACTCCATATCTTTCTCAAAAATACATTGAAATTCACAGAAAAAAAGAAATCTGTGGAGAACCATAATTGCCTACATTTTGGAAGGACATTAAAAAAAAAAAAAATTCACATGACACAAAACTAAATGTGTAGGCTGAGAAGACTGGCAAGATTGTCTTAAAATTAATCTTTAAAATGGAAACTGCCCTTAAAATTAGAAGTTGAAATTCTGGTTGTTACTTAGATGTTGTTACTTAGGCCTAACCTTCAATAGAATAGGAAATATGTAACTACTAACAGAGTTGATAGAATTATTTATATATGGATTTCTCTTGAAGAAACTTTTTCAAAGTTACAGTAGGATCTGTCCTTTTATATGGCTCCTTAACCTGAACACTAACAGCCAAAAGAGGGTTAATGGTGCTTACACTAATGCTTTGAGCAGCACTAAACAAATCCTGGACAGATCACCCAACAAAGAAAGAGTTCTATGACAACATACCTCCTATCAGCAAATTAATACGCTGACAAAGACTAAGATTTGCTGGTCACTGTTGGCATAGTGTGTTGGTAAAGCAACGACTCAATTGATAATAGCAGATAGGAAATGCAAGGAGGGTAACCGACAAAATAGTGTCACACGTCCAACCTTCTCACAAGCAAAAAACTCAGTGCACAGAAACAAAAATGCACCTGCTTTATACAGTCGAGGACCGACCATAATTTGCATGTGAATGACGAGACAACAAGATTTCACGTTAACTGTCCAAGACCGCCCGGCATAAAACATGGGCACCACCATTTTGGTTCTTTTTATCGTTGAACAATCGGAGTTTGCACGACGCACAGATTTGCGGGCATTTCTGAGGTAGGCCATTTTCACAATTTTCCCCACACATAACAAAGAAGAACTAGATGGCGATGTTCTACTCTGGATACCATCCAATGGAAAAAGAACACACGGTCGACCATAGAAGATGTACATTGAACATCTGATTGAAGACATGGGATGCAGGCTGGATGAGCTTCCAAATGCAATGAATAACAGGAATGGATGGAAGCAATGTGTTATGGAATGTTGAGCTTATTTTTTATTTTTTTTATTATTTTTTATTATTATTATTATTATTATTATTATTATTATACGGATTGGCATGCCTGCTTAGACTCAGTGTACTTGTTTGTTCTGAGGTCCAAGCTATTTGTTAACTAGTAGAACAGAATAGATTTTCTAGCTTTGGGCAACAACCAGTCTAGGAGAAGGACAACTGTAATCTCTACATTGATTTGTTTTCTCAGAAATCAAATTCATTTTACTGATACAGGTGATTTGAAAAACTAAGAACACTTGCAAGTTTCCTATAACCAGGTGCAAATTTCTTATTCAGACAAAAATGAGGGACATTTTTTGAGCCATCTCTTATCGCTTTCTTCAAGTATGATACCCCTTCATGTAGCAGATCATAGCTCTTCACAACTTCCTTCCCTTTTCTTTTAATATCTGTAAACTGTGCATTATCATTATTGTTCTTAGCAAAATAGTGGGCAAAGTTTAACGTTTGTGCCCACAAAAAACAGTGTTCAAGGACAGTTTTTCCCTTGAAACTGCTATTTTTTTATAGTCTCTTCATTCACTCTGTGGTATGATCCATCTCCCCCATTAATGGATCTGTCCTGAATGTATATATTCAGAACTTTGCTGATAAGCAGAGTTTATTAAAGCTTGAATGAGTCAGGTGGTCTGCTGCCTGGCTCTGCTTGTCGACCTCTCTGTCTTTGCTTATGCCAAAGGGCAGAGTCTCATGGGGATGTAAAAAAACCTGACCCCATTATTATGGGGTCTATAGGGAATTTTTGCCCAAACCTATGGGCTCAGAACACTCCATGTAAAAAAAATGGCCTTGTAGAGGTGTGGTCTTGGGTAAATACCAAGTTTATTAAAGCTTACTGATAAGCAAATACATATTCTCCCAAACAATTCTGTTATACACTCAGCAATGTTTATTGTTTTAAAAAGTGATGATTAGAATTTTAATAAAACCCAAACATATAAAAGTGATTTTATATGTTTTCTTTGTTCTTGAGAATTTACAACACAAGTATTAAATACTATTTATTTATTATTGTTTATTTACAAGTATAATTTTATATATTTACAACATTATAAAGATGTGAACTAATACAATGCAATGTTTATCCTTTACCAATTTATCAAGAAATAAATATGAAAACAATTTTTTCTTCATAAATTTATAAAAATCTAGTAAATGTGAACCATCTATAATGAAATCTTTATAAGTGACCATTTTATAAAGTTTGAATCCATTGGCAATTTTGCCAATTGTTCCAAAGAACACAATGATCCAGTTTTGCCAATTGCCTTAGTCAAGGTACTTAGTGCCTAGTCTTCATTTAAGATTTCTTCATCAGTCAGCACTTGGCTGACAATAAATAATCTATTGGCAGATTTTCAAGGCATTTTTAGAAACATTAGCAACAACTTAAAAATATTTTTCAAAATTATGTTTTTCAAAAAAGGGTAGTAAGGTGTGTATGTGTGAGGGGGGTAGCCGATAATTGCTGAAGTTTCAAACTTTGGATTTCTATTGAGTAGGCATCCTAGATTGCAATTATAAAAAAAATGAAAAATTAAAAGAAAAAAATAATCCAAGATATAAAATAATTTGAGAAAAAAATCTATAATATCTTGAAAATATATTTTCTTAATTTTTCTTGTTCATAGATATTTCTATAAAATTATCAATAAGAAATTTTTTCATTTTTATTTCTTTATAAAATGGTAAATAATAAATATTCCATTCTAGTTGGTCCACATATTTTGAAAATTTTGTAGATTTTTTTCTAATTTATTTTTGTATAAAATAATAAATGATAAATCTTTATAAGATGTTAAATAATAACGTTTCAGTAGTATACAATAATAACAGTGTCAACAGAAAATCAATTCTTTGAAACACCATTTTTTTGTGAACACAAAGGTTAAAATTTCCTAGAGAATGGAGTTATTTCCCACTGCCTCCTCCTGCAAAGAACTGAAAGCTGAGAAAAGAAGAGATGGGTTGTTGCCTTTCCCAATGGTATTAATGCAAAGTGCCTGGATTTTCAACTGGGCTTGTTGGTTCCATTTTTACACATTGAACAAAATGCAGAATATTTATC